CTGCTGTTTATGTTTGTTCTGCATTTATGTATAAAATGTGAAAAATGTAATAAAAGTCTTAATGACAAAAAAAAAGAATCAAGTGTGGTGCATTCACTGAGCATAAATAAAGTAGGTTACCCCAGCATGCGCCGATGAGCATCCTCTGGCGGGGCAGAGGGTTGGGGATGGCTCCGTTGTCGTGGATGAGGGCGGGGTCGAAGGTCACGCCGTCGACGTACAGGGTCACCGAGGGGAACTGGACACTGAGGGAGAGGTGATGCCACTCACTGTCACATACCTGCAGGAGAAACAGAACACAACGTGAGCCGAGACAAAGGAGACAGGTTCAAATGAAAAGGATTGGATCAGAATCAGGATCCTTTATTTGTATCAGAGGGACATTTGGTTACAAGACAGTTGCTAATTAAAAATTTTTTTATATAAAAGGAGAATTAGAAGAAGTAATTGTGTGTACTTAAAGGATAAATATAGAAAAAATAGCAATAAAGGTTAACATTCAAACCCTTGTGATGCGTTTAAATAAACCAGTGAGCGATGACCATTTACCTGAGTTTTCCAATTTTAATTGTATTTCCGTTTTAACTGTATTGTAATATTGTATTTTAACTGTACTATGTATTACTTTATTGACCTGTACTTAAATCAGGTTTATAATTGTTTTTAGTGTTTGTTGATTGTCAGCGCAAGTTCAACCAGGAAGACAGTCTTTTCTCATTCATTTACTATTTCCATGTTGCTACTCTCTCTCCTCTCAATAAGTGATCGGGGGCGTCTCTCCCCAGCTTAACCAATCACTTCGCTCTATTCTCACAAGCCTATCATAGCGCTCCGCTAACCCTTTTAAATCTGCTCTCCCCTCTGACAGCTGTCATTTCAGGTGACTCGACGCAACCCCCCTCCACCCCTTTTCACCTCCTGTCCCTCTGAATCCAGGGTCAAGCTAAGCCCCTCCCATTCAGACCGACCCAACTACCCATTCTCCACCACCAGGGTCAAGCTAAGCCACTCCCCTTCAGACCGAACCCAACTATCCATTCACCACCACCAGGGTCAAGCTAAGCCCCTCCCCTTCAGACCGACCCCAACTATCCATTCACCACCACCAGCGTCAAGCTAAGCCCCTCCCCTTCAGACTGACCCCAACTATCCATTCACCACCACCAGGGTCTAGACCCCGGTGGGTTTCATCGGATCAGTTCTCCCCTCCCGAATGATACTCCTGCATAACGGGGCCTAATCGCCAAAACTTCATTACATTCATTTTTGTATTCCTGGCAATAAATATGTATTCTTACATCAAAGCCGTCTCTCCTGATTGAAGTGTTATAGCTTTAGATCAGCATAAACAGTTTGCCTTCAAAGGTTCTTTCAACACAAAAAACACAAGATCACTTAGTACTTTAGTTTAAAAACAACAACGGTAACTAACACAAATCTAAAGTTCATATCCAGTGTTTCCCCTACCATTGTCTTGGGGGGGCGCGGGGCTCCGTTGGCGAAATTCAAGGTGTTTTTCTTTTATTAATAATTTTTTTTTTAAATATATANNGGGCGCTGTGCTCCGCCAACGGAGCCCCGCGCCCCCCCCCTGAAATTCAAGGTGTTTTTCTTTTATTAATAATTTTTTTTTTAAATATATAAAGCACCAAATTGCAACTAATCTATATCTACTGTCACTTTTCACATTGAACATGTGCTCTTTTATTAAATAAAATAAACGCTTTCATTTTAAGTTGTGAGTTTAGTGTTTTTGACCCTAAGAAACACTGATGCATTCATCAATAATCCACAGCTCCTCTCTCTGCTCCAGAGGATTCAAAAGCTATATATCCCAATGGTGAAGACGGAGGCGGCACTCACCTGTGACGATCTTGTAGCCGTGTTTAATGAGGCCGCTGGATAGAGATTTGCAGTTAACAAGAACCTGCGTCTGGTAGGCCTTGAACTCTGGGGTCATGGCTTGTTTGAGAGCCACCGCAACACCTGCCAGGGACAGATATTACCTAAATGAGATCCTGACATACTTGAAGTGAAACTGAGAGGATAAAGTCCAAAGAGAGGAACATGAAGAGGTGTACCTGCGATAGCGTGGTTGTGCGGTCCTCCCTGCAGCCCAGGAAACACAGCCTGATTGATCAAAGACTCCAAGTTGTACACAGTCTCCTTCCCCTTGGCATCCACACTGCGAACTCCTGGAGGAGCGAAACAGAAAAATGTGTGTGAAGACAAAAGGGAAAGTGTTTTGGTAGCATGACAATGGGGGTTAGCTTAGCTCTGATAGAATCATACGGTCAACAAAAGACTGTTTGTTTATTGTTTTGATTTACAATATTAAATATCCTTAACACGTCAAGTTCAGTATTTATATGTGTCACATCAATGAGCGAAGTTTAGCCTCAGAGCGGCCGTATACAATGGGAATATAGCCGCACGCCACACTCGTATTCAATGTCTACCTTTCCTGAAGAAGATTAGTCCGGCGCGGCAGCCTCGCAGCGTCTTGTGTGTCGTGGTGGTGATAATGTCACAGTACTCGAAGGGGGAGGGCACCACTCCTGCAGCCACCAGTCCACTGATGTGAGCCATGTCTCCCATCAGGTACGCTCCGTTCTCATTAGCGATCAGCCTGAGGCGTTGGTAGTCCAGGTTGCGGGAATAGCAGCTGGTTCCTGGAGGGGAAGACGACGCAGAGGTGAGAAACACGTTGGATATTCACACCTGATTTGTTTTAATGTGTGAAAGTAAAACAGTTATAGGAGACGTACCGGCGATGATGAGTCTGGGGTGGAAGAGCCGGGCGTTTTCTTGCAGTCTGTCGTAGTCAATGTAGCCGGTATCTGGATTCACCTGAAAACATCAAATCGAAAACATCAAAACAGCTTAACATGAAATACGGAACATAAGCACAACACGGCAATATTTTTAAATAACGTTGTACTTCGGCCATCTTTGTTCTAATAGCTTTCAGATTTTGACCACATTTTTTAAGGATTTTTACTGATTGAATTATATTCATTTAAGAAACACAGAAATGAATCGAAACACAGAAATATGAAAAACGGTTGTCATCAGATAATATTGCACTCATACTTGCAAAATAAACAAACATTTTAATCTTGTTTTCTCGCTAACTTTTCTATTTTCTGTTGAAGGACAATTCACTGTTGTTAGTAAATGTAAGTGACAATTGCAAATAACTTTTTTTTTGTGTTGTTTTATAAATTTGCTTTAAAAGCTACAAGGGATTTGGTTTCGAGTTTGTTTTCTGTCAAATTGTCAGCATTTTGTTATCATTGCTCTCACGAGGAGCCGCAGCCCAACACCATGTGCACATACTTGCAGTAATGAGGAATAATCTTGTTTAACTTGGTGCAGAACTCCATAATCAGAAAGGGACTTTTTAGGACTAGAAAAACAAAACTCAAAAACTAATATGTGTTTTGTGCAAGTGTTTTACAAAAATCACTTTTCATACCTGCTCAAAGTGAACATTGTGCTCAATTCTTATCTAAACAAGTATTATTTGGTCTACGCTCTAACGGTACGTCCACACAGCAGCTTTAAAAAAAAAATCCAACGCTTCCAACGCTTCTCTGCCCATTGACTTTGAATGGGGATGAACTGCATTGTGGGAAAGCAAAGCGAAGATTTCCAGGATTTTCAGGATTTTCAGGATTCAAAAGTTGAGCAATGTTCAACTTTTGAAGCTGAGCTGGAAGCGTCAGCCAATCAAATCCCGTTTATGCAAATCTGACAGTACAAGCGCTAGCCAATCAAACCGCGTGTAAGCTGGGAGAGCCAGTTCATTTCCTCATATTCCAAACGAGAAATTACGGTAGCAAATCACCCGGTTCTTTACGACCAGAACTATTTACCGGGATACAAACCGGAGGAACCAGGCATGGAGGGAGGTGGCAGAGACAGTGGGTGAAACTGGTAGGTTTTCGCCTGTTTGGGGATTTTATATCCAGTTTACTTCGTTTAAACACTGCTAGCAAGCATAGACAGTATCTTTTGCCATGGAATGTAGCATAAAATAGCACCATAGACATTAATCTCATACATGTTCATCATAGCCCTTCCCGCTGACACTTTACCTCTGCCACATCATAGACTATATGCATCACATTAATGCACACAATGTCGTACTCCTTTCTGCACATATTCTGAGTGGAGAAGAACCGGGGTTTTTTTCTTTGTATGTCGGGGGCGGGATATTCATGTGATCAGTGGCGGCCGGCACATAGGGGCGCCGCCCCCCCTCTTCCCACATGTTTGATTTTCATTAAAAACTCAAAATAAATACAAAAATATTAAAAAATATATTAATTTTTTTTTTTAAAGAACAAGGTAAA